GGCCTCTTTTAGCCCTCTTGGGAATGCTCTTGGGGCTCTCTTGGGACGTCTTGGAGGCCTCTTGGGCCATCTGGGAGCCATCTTGGGCGTCTTGGAGCGGTCTTAGGCGCGTCGTGGCACGCTTTGACTGTCTTCGACGCCTCTTGGGCCGTGTTTGCAAGCTCTTGGGCGGTCTTGAGCGCCTATCGGGTTGTTTTTAGGCCCTCTTGGGCCGTCTTGGGGCGCTCTTGGGGGCCTCTTGGGCGATCTTGGGCCGCTCTTGGGGACTTCGTGGGCTGTCGTGGAGGGTCGGGACGACGGAAAAACAAAAAAACAAAAAACTAACCCTGCAAAAAAACGGAATCCCATGATTTCGGCCTATTGCAGCCCTCTTGGGAATGCTCTTGGGGCTCTCTTGGGACATTTTGGAGGCCTCTTGGGCCGTCTGGGAGCCATCTTGGGCGTCTTGGATCGATCATAAGCGTCTCGAGGCACGCTTGGACCGTCTTCGGCGCCTCTTGGGCCGGACAAGGGCGCTCCAGGAGGCCCGATCCCGCCATGGGGGGTTGCGGTCCAGGCCAGGGAGCCCCCGGCCCTGTAGCCCGGTGTATATATATATATGTATACACACATACATACATACATACATACATACATACATACATGCATGCATGCATACATACATACATACGTACCTACGTACCTACCTACCTACCTACCTACATACATACATACATACATATATACATACGTACATACCTACATACAGACATACATGCATACATGCATACATGCATACAGACATACCTGCATACATACATACATACATACATCCATAAGTACACACATACACACATACACACATACATACATACACACACATACATACATACATACATACATACATACATACATACATACATACATACATACATACATACATGCATACATGCATGCATGCATGCATGCATGCATGCATGCATGCATGCATGCATACATACACACATACATACATGCACGCATTCACGCATGCATGCATGCATACATGCATGCATGCATGCATGGGAGTTTGACGTAGCTTCTCGGGAGCCTCTGAACCTGTCGGGGGCCTCCTGGAAGCAGGTTCGAAGCATTTTGGGGGCCGATTTGGGGCTTCGCGGGGCCTCCTTTGGGCCTCTTGGGGGTCTCCTGGGGCCTCTTGAGGGTCCTCCTTGGGGCCTCCTGGCGGCCTCTTGGGGCGGAAGGCTCGAGCTTGCGGTTCGTGGTCCCCCTCTGGGCCCCCTCTTGGGCCCGTTTCGGGGCCCTCTTGGGCCATCTTGGGCACCTCTTGGGCCGCTTTGGGGCCCTCTTGGGCTGTCCTGGTGCCCTCTTGGAAGCTTCTTGGGCCGTCTTGGGGCGGTCTTGGGCGCCTCGTGGGCCGTCCTGTAACGTCGGAAAGCCCAAAAGACAACTTTGTTAAAAATGTACGTTTTACGAAGGGAATGGGTCAATTTTTGCGTCTAGGGGCCCTCTTGGGACGCATGTTGGAGGCTTCTTGGGGCGTCTTGGGGGCGTCCTTGGACGTCGGGGGGCGTCCTTGGACGTCTGGGGTCTCCTGGGGCCTCTTGAGGGGCCTCCTGGGGGCCTCCTGGCGGCCTCTTGGGGCGGAAGGCTCGAGCTTGCGGTTCGTGGTCCCCCTCTGGGCCCCCTCTTGGGCCCGTCTTGGGGCCCTCTTGGGCCATCTTGGGCGCCTCTTGGGCCGTCTTGGGGCCCTCTTGGGCTGTCCTGGGGCCCTCTTGGAAGCTTCTTGGGCCGTCTTGGGGCGGTCTTGGGCGCCTCTTGGGCCGTCCTGTAACGTCGGAAAGCCCAAAAGGCGACTTTGTGAAAAACGTACGTTTTACGAAGGGAATGGGTCAATTTTTGCGTCTAGGGGCCCTCTTGGGACGCATGTTGGAGGCTTCTTGGGGCGTCTTGGGGGCGTCCTTGGACGTCTGGGGTCTCCTGGGGCCTCTTGAGGGGCCTCCTGGGGGCCTCCTGGCGGCCTCTTGGGGCGGAAGGCTCGAGCTTGCGGTTCGTGGTCCCCCTCTGGGCCCCCTCTTGGGCCCGTCTTGGGGCCCTCTTGGGCCATCTTGGGCGCCTCTTGGGCCGTCTTGGGGCCCTCTTGGGCTGTCCTGGGGCCCTCTTGGAAGCTTCTTGGGCCGTCTTGGGGCGGTCTTGGGCGCCTCTTGGGCCGTCCTGTAACGTCGGAAAGCCCAAAAGACAACTTTGTTGAAAATGTACGTTTTACGAAGGGAATGGGCCAATTTTTGCGTCTAGGGGCCCTCTTGGGACGCATGTTGGAGGCTTCTTGGGGCCTCTTGGGGGCGTCCTTGGACGTCTGGGGTCTCCTGGGGCCTCTTGAGGGGCCTCCTGGGGGCCTCCTGGCGGCCTCTTGGGGCGGAAGGCTCGAGCTTGCGGTTCGTGGTCCCCCTCTGGGCCCCCTCTTGGGCCCGTCTTGGGGCCCTCTTGGGCCATCTTGGGCGCCTCTTGGGCCGTCTTGGGGCCCTCTTGGGCTGTCCTGGGGCCCTCTGGGAAGCTTCTTGGGCCGTCTTGGGGCGGTCTTGGGCGCCTCTTGGGCCGTCCTGTAACGTCGGAAAGCCCAAAAGGCGACTTTGTTAAAAATGTACGTTTTACGAAGGGAATGGGCCAATTTTTGCGTCTAGGGGCCCTCTTGGGACGCATGTTGGAGGCTTCTTGGGGCGTCTTGGGGGGCGTCCTTGGACGTCTGGAGGCCATCTTCAGCATCTCGGAGCCCTCTTGGAGGCCTCTTGGAAGTTTCTTGGGCCGTCTTGGGCGTTTCTGGGGCCGTCTTGTCTGACCGGGGAGGCCTCCGGCAAGCCCCGACGAGCCTCCGGGCCCCCCGGGGTGCACATTTGCGGTCGGGGTCCCGGCCCCGGGCCCCCGGACCCGGTGCGCCGTTATATGTATATGTAATGGCGACCCCAGCTTCGCGGCCTCGGAGGGCATTAGGAAGACTTCAGATGGGCCTCGAGACTGCTCCCAGAAAGCCCGCCAGCCCGAGAACCCGCCGATGCTGCCGCCCCAGACGCTCCAAACAGGGCCTCAAGTCGACCTCGACGACGACGGCGACGACCATGACGACGACCACGAGCCTCTTCGGGAGAGCTCGGCAGAGCCATCGCGGCCCACACGCCCCCAACGAGCTCCCGAAGAACCCGCGCAAACGGCCCCAATCGTCTCCCAAGCGGTCTCCCCGAAGAATCCGCCCGACGGTAGGCACACGCTGTGGCGTAATCTCTGCGGATGAGCCCGCGCGCGCGCAAAAGCAGCCACATGATGATGGTGATGACTGCACTATTGATGCTGAAGGACTACGGTGGAATTCATGATTATGAGCATGGTCCTGATGATGCTGCTGCTGCTGATGATAATGCTGATGCTGATGATGATGCTGATGATGATGATGCTGCTGATGATGATGATGCTGCTGATGATGATGATGATGATGATGATGATGATGATGATGCTGATGCTGATGCTGATGATGATGATATTGGTGCTGCTGATGATGCTGATGATGATGACGGCGGTGTAGAGGAGTAAGAAGACAATGGCGGTGGCCCAGACTTGGACCAGGAGGAAGAGAACAGGAGAACGAGGCGGATAGGGGGGAAGCGAAGGGAAGAAGGAAAATGAGCGGTAAAAGGAGGTGGGAGGGAGAGAGCAGATGGTGGAAGAGGAAGAAGAGTCGGCGGAGGAGGAAGGGAGAGGGAAGGAGTAGGGGGAGGAGGAGGAGGAGGAGGAGGAGGAGGAGGAGGACAAGGAGGAGGAGAAGGAGGAGGAGGAGGAGGAGGAAGAGGAGGAGGAGGAGGAGGAGGAGGAAGAGGAGGAGGAGGGGGAGGAGGGGGAAGAGAAGGAGGAGCGGGAGGACCATGAGTCAGGCGAGGATCGACCGCGCCAGGCCGACTCCTTGAGCGGCGGTCGACGTCGCAGGGAGGCTGCAGCGACGCACCCCGGTGGTGCGGCGGATTGCGAGAAGGGCAAGGCCGGGAATAATCAAGAGCTGCTTGAGGGTGAGGGATGCCCCGTGAAGGCTGGACGATTGGGGTATGGAGGAAGAGGGGGATCGAGGTGGATGGATAGACGGATGGATGGAGGAAGACCCAGGAAGACGGATAGATGGATTGATGGACGATGCGGGCCGAGGAGGATGTATGGAGGCTGGGTGATGACAAAACTGGAGAATTGGGGAAACGGCCGAGGAGGCCGGGGGGGATGGAGAAGAAGTGTGAGGGAGGAAAAGGGAGGAGGGGGAATATCAGTTAGTGACGAGGCTGATGATGGAGGCGGGAGGACGGTGAAGAAGATGCTCACGATCATGCATCTGATAAACATGATGATGCCGTTGGTGCGGATTCGGCAAGGGTGATATGCAGAAGAAGAGGCTACTATGATGCAACTGTTCGGTGCAGAAGTGGCCTCTGTGAGAAGGGGAAGGATGAGGATGAGGATGAGCATGAGGAGGAGGAGGATGAGGAGGAGGAGGGGGAGGAATAAACCAGGTAAATGCGCTTCGGGGACGTGACAGCAACAGCGGCGTCAGGGCAAAGAGGAGGAGGAGGAGGAAAAGAGGAGGAGGAGAAGGAGGAGGAAAGGAGGAGGAAGAGAAAGATGAGAGAGGGAGATAATGAGTTCTCTACTTCCGATGAGACGTGGCCTGCGTGAGGACGATGAGCACGAGGATGAGGAGGATGAGGAGGGGCAAGAAGAGCAAGAGCGAGAGAATAAGGAGGTGGAACATCCGGAGGCGGATCATACTTCTCTGCTGGGGAGCAGGGAAGGAGCTCGGGCGACAAGTCTTGAGGCTGCGCACAACCGCCCGCAAAGGTAGTCTGGGCTGGCCTCAGCAGTCCGCCCCCCCCCCCACGGTAGTCCTGGGCGGTCACAGCACCCGAGGGTCCCTCCAGACTGCTCGGGGGGTCCAGCCGGATCCACCTCTGGGGGCTGCCTGCGCGCAGCGCCAGGCATTTCCAAGCTCGGGCCTCTGGCCAAGGCCTTGCGCTCCTCCATCCTGTCCTTGTTCAGCAGGATGTCTGGGTCCGGGAAGTGGCCGCTGGTCAGGAGCCATTGCCGGAAGCCCTCCTCGCGGCACGCCCTGACATCCGCCGATCCGCTTGTTCAATAAGCGGCCCTAGAGATCCCTCCCCCCAGGCCTTTTTCTTGACCTCGGATTCATGTCTGATGGCCCTGGGGCCCGAAAACGGACCCCAGATGTCGACATCCAGAGAAGACGCCCAGATGGAAAAAATCACATCGTCGGAGGTCTGACACGAAGCTCCTCCCTGGCACTCAACGACCTCCGACACCGCACCCTTGCCGACCCTGCCGCGTTTTTCGCAAAATTCGGCCTCTTGAGGCCCATCCCTCTCCTTCTCCTCCTCCTCCTCCTCTTCCTCCTCCTCCTCCTCCTCCTCCTCCCCTCTCCCCTTTTCCCCCGCTTTTCATTTTCTCCTCTGCTCCCCTCTTCTTCTCCCCCTCTCCCCTCCTCCCCTCTTCTTCTCCTCGCCCTCATCATCATAATAATAATCATCATCATAATCATCGTCACTATCATCATCACCATGGTCATCATCATCACCATCGTCATCGCCGTCATCATCATCATCGTCATCATCATCATCATCATCATCATCATCATCTTCACCACCACCATCACCATCGCCGCCGCCACCATCATCAGCTTCATCATCATCCTCATCATCGCCAGCCCCATCATCATCATCATATCATCGTCACCATCATCATCATCACCATCATCACTATCACTATCACCATCACAATCACCATGGCCATCATTATCATCATCATCATCATCATCATCATCATCATCATCATCATTATCGGCATCAACATTACCACCACCATCGACCCCATCACCATCACCATCGTCATCACCACCACTACCATCACCATCACTATCATCATCATCATCATCATCATCATCAGCATCACCATCATAATCCTCGCCCTCATCCTCATCCTCATCCTCCTAACCATCATCAACATCATCTGCATCCTCATCATTCTGATCATCATCAGCAACACTATTCACCTCATCATTATCGTCATCATCATCATCATCATCATACTCATCACCATCATCATCATCATCATGGTCATCATTAGCAGTACCATCATCACCATGATCACCAGCATCCTGCTACTCATCACCATCATAACCAGCATCATAACCATTATCCCCTCTTTCCTCCTAGCGCTTCTCCTCCTCCTCCTACTCTTCTCACCGGAGGAGGATGGCGATGACGAGGGGGAGGAGGGGAAGGAGGAGTACGATGATGATGATGATGAGGAGGAGGAGGAGGATGAGAAGAAGAAGAAGAAGACGCATAATGAGACGACTACTAATACTAACAAATCGTACTTGACAAAAAATAATAAGACAGCAGTCCTAACAATACGACGAATACTAACAACACAAAGAATAATTCCAGTACTAATGTTACGAACAATAATGAACGCTAATGAAAAAAACCGACGAAACATACGACACATACTCAGAAACATGTTAGCACGGATAAGAAGAATAATGACATAAGAAGAAGACGGCGAACAAGGAAGAGGAGGGTTAGTAGGAATATGGATGATGAGGAAGATGATGATGATGAGGAGGAGGAGCAGGCGGAGGAGGAGAAGCAGACGGAGGAGGACTAGGATGATGATGCTGATGATGCTGATGCGGATGATGGTGATGATGACGATGATGATGATGATGATGACGACTCTGATTATGATGTTGATGCTGATGATGATGACGGTGGTGATGATGATGGTGATGACGCTGCTGATGCTGATGATGCTGCTGATGATGCTGATACTGATGATGCTGAGGATGATGAGGATGCTGTTAATGCTTTTGCTGCTGCTGCTGATGAGGATGACCAGCAGCAATTAGGCAAACACATCCTATCAGAAGAGGCACATGAGGCATCAGCCGCTTTCTACCACCGCTCGCGCTTCTCCATCATGCTGATGCTGATGCTGATGCTGATGATGATGGTGATGATGATGCTGCTGTTGATGATGCTGATGCTGATGTTGATGATGATGCTGTTGATGATGATGTTGATGTTGTTGATCATGATGCTGTTGATGATGCTGATGATGATGATGATGCTGATCATGGTTCTGCTGATGAGGCTGTTGCTGATGATGATGGTGATGATGCTGCTGCTGATGATGAGGAGGAGCACACGAGGAGAAGGAAGAGTAGGAGGAGGAGGTGGCCGTGGAGGAGGAGAAGAAGGAGACGACGAAGGAGGAAGAGGAGGAGGAGGAACGCGAACGAACCCCTGGGAGAGGCGCGTCGATCGATGGCGAGCGGGCACCGCCGTGCGCGATCGGGCCCAGCCTCAGCGCGAGGCGGGAGGCCTGCATGTAGTTCTTGTGGATGTGGTACGAGTTGTCGACGCTGCCGTCGTCCTTGATAGAGTGCTAGAACCTGTAGGCCACGGCGAGGCGCGTGAGCACGTGGTCAATCTGGTCGTCGGTGGCCCCGTTCGGGTCGAAATTGGTGTCGTGCAAGCCAAGCCTAGCAAGTGCACATCGATGAAGGCGTCCGCGAGGAAGTGCAGCGTGGTGCCACAGGCGCTTGCAGACCAGATAGTGGCTGAAAGAGTCGGGGTGGAACTTTGGGTTGCAGCCAAGAACGCAGCCACGAAGGATTGGCTGTACGTGCGTGCGGTAAGACGTGGCCCACCCGCCCGATAGCGTCTTCATCGCGGGCCAGAAGCGCGAGGGCGGCAACTCGGCGAGCTTCGGGCGGAGGCGGTTCCACGCGGTCTTCACGTTGAACGGTAATTGGATGAGGGAAGTCATGTCGTTGTCGTCTGCGTACGCGTTGGTGAGATCGTCGGTGATCATGGGCGTGGAGTCCGAGTCGTTGTTCTGGGAGTCGGCGTCGTGGATCCAGCGACGCCGAGCATGGTGTTCGGCAGCTGCACGATCGAACCTCTGCTGTAGTTCGGCGGTACGGGGGAGGTTGAACGCAGCGGTGGTCTGGAGTCTGGAGGCCGCGGCTGACTGCCACGCCTGCGTGCAAATACGTTCAGCACGCCGACGGAGTTGGGCATCTGTTTGACCACGAAAGAGGACTTGAAGACCGCCACGACGGAGATGACGAATAATAAAGGTTTTGCGCCATTCATGCCAGTCGTCGACGTCCCATTCACGGTGTTGTTGTGTGAGGTATATCGAAGGCAGCCAGTCGGAGGCCCAATGCTGCAGGCATTCGGCGATGGTCTCGAGCTCGTTGGCTGCGTTTCGCATGTCGTAGTCATCGTCATCAGGCGTGTTGGGAACTTGTAGATGAAATGGTGGGAATCGTTGGAGGCGTCCTGAGCCGGATGTGGTAGCAGACGGCGCCGACGGGAGGGTGGGGAACCAGGCCCGAAGGCGGGCGGCGATGGTGGCGTCGAAAGAGTCTTCGTAGAGCGAGCGCGGCAGCGTGATCGTGTATGTGGTTTGTGGCGATTTCTTCGGATGATCATCTTCAGCACGGCGAAGTTTGTCCAGGACACGAAGAGCAGCGGCACGGGCGAGTTCATGAGCTTGGCGTAGCTGACGGTGAGCCTGATGATCGTGGTGGCGGCTGCGTTTGATGATCTTGAAGATGGTGCCCTTGTGGGTGGAGTAGTTGTCGCCGAACTTGGCCGCCCGCAGGTGCTGCGCGATCGAGGTAGCGGAGGCCCAGCACGGCGCGGTCCAAAGACCCTGGACAACTTGTGCGAGTGGAAGCTGTTCAACTGCTGCCTGATGGTGTAGCTCGAGAAGCTGGGGCCAGACGTTGATGGTGGAAGTGGCAGAGCGCCACAGCGTAGCAGCTAGCAGGACTTCGACGCCGATGGGGATGGCGCAGCCCGCCCAGTTCGTCATGCCGAGGATGTCGAGCTTGGTGGATGCTGAAGGAGCAGATCTGATAACTTTATGAAGGGCATGAATTTCTTTAGAAAGAACGAGTTCTGGAGCTGGAAACAGTTGTCCGACGTAGGTGAGGCATGTGACCGCGGAGGTGTTGTACAGCGAGACGTTCAGCTGGATGGCCGCGGAGGCGTCGCCCAATATCTGGGTGCGGTGGTGCCACTTGGCCGCAGGGGCGGCCCATTGTGCACGATCATCAGCACACGGGCCGATGTAGACTCCGAGGTACTTGGCCTTGCCGTCGATCTTGAATTGGGCCCAGGCGGGGTTGATCGTCCCGAGCGTGTCGCGCATGGTGTTGTCAACGTCTTCGAAGCAGTTGGTCCAGACTGGGACGAGCACGCACTTCCGAGGTTGGAGCATCAGCCCCGCGAGTGTGTGGGCCGCCTCGGTATGCGGTAGGATGCCTTGCATGCCACGCAAGCGCGCTAAAACACAACCAATGTCATCGGCACAAGCACTGGCCATGCCACGGCCAATCTGAGAAAAGTGGCGTTGAATTCCGCGTAGGATGGGGTCGAATACCAGGGCCCAGATGGTGCCACTGAGTGGGCAGCCCTGAGCTACGCCGCTGGCTGCAACGGGTAATGGTCGACGTGTGCCTCCCAGCTCGAGGAAGGCGATGGGCGAGGCGTAGAAGGACTGGAGGAGGCGACGGACGCGGCCACCAATCCCCCATCTGCGAATCACTTCCCATAACCAAGTGTGAAGCAGGCTTGGGAAGGCGGCGGCAATGTCCACGCTGAGGAAGCACGGCATGAGCTCGGCGGCGTTGTCCATGGTGCTGTAGATGCGGCTGTACGTGTCGGCTTCGACTATGTTGTTGAGGAATTGGCGGCCAGGAACGAAACCTCGTTGGATACTCGACACTTGCTTGACTATCGGATGGAGCTTGCGGTTGATGGCGGAGGCAGCAATCTTTACGTCGGTGTTCTTCATCGCGAGAGGGCGGAGTTGGTCTGGCGACCGATAGCATTCAGAGTGTCCTGCAGGCGCATCACCTTTTGGAAGCATGGCGAGTCGTGCGTGGTTCCAATCGTGCGGGATGATGTTGTTGACCGAGATGTTGGCCACGAGCTCTTCCAGGATCTCGAAACTGTTGGGAGTGGGCGTCCAAGCTTTGTAAGGAAGACCGTCAGGGCCTGCGGCGGAGTCATGTGCTCGTTTTGCTGCGTCTTGTAGCTCTTCAGCGTTGGGGAGTTCCAGCGCAACAGAGTCGCGCTGGGCGAAGACAGAGTCCAGGTAGACGTTCATGTTGGCGATGTTCACTGTTTTGTCAGCGAAGATCGGGCCCCAGTGCGCTAGTATAGCGTCGTGCATGTCCGACGGCATCTTTGCAATGCCGGAGGAGCTGCCTTGCGAAATTCGGATGCCAGCGAGCACCAGACGCTTGGAGAAAGGCTTCCACAGCTCTCCAAGTCTGCGTGTGGCACTGGCCCGTTTCCGCCACCTGTCCCCTTGTTGACGCTGTAGACGTTGATAAGCATCACGGGCACGTGCGGCAGCGAGGGCGCGACGTTCTTCAGCGACAGCAGCATGAGCTTCAGCGGCGGCATCGGCGAAGGCGTTGGCGTTGATAAGGCAAACCTTGCTCGAAGGGGTGTCGGTAGAGTTGTCGATGATTATCTGCAAGTACTTGGAGCCCAGGTGGGTGGTGTCGATAAGGAGGCGCGCGAGCTTGATGTCCTGGTACCAGACCGCGCGCGAGGTGCTTCTCATGGTCATCGAGTTGACGTCCTTGGAGATCGAGAGATGGTCGCGTGCAAGAACTTCAGGCGGTAGCCGCGCAAGAGCATCTCGCGTGGCTTTCGCAGCGTTCGTCATGTTGGATCTCAGCGTGCGCCACTTGATGCTGGGCGTGGGCGTGTCGTACTCGGTGTCGGCGGAGAGCTTGTCGATGAAGAGCTTGTAGAAGTCGGAGTTGAAGAGGTAGGCGGGGATGCCTCGCTCAGCATGGGGCCGTTGAGTTCGGGGGCGGAATCGAACATGAAGAAGTTTATGGTCACTGGCAGGTACTCCCTTTCGTTCGAGTGGCGAGTCGTCGGCAACCATGATCGTCTGAATGTGGGTGAGATTGTGTGCCAGGAAGGAGGTGAAGAAGCGAAAGATGCTCGACTCGGTGTTGTTCGCGTAGCAGCGGCGGGTGGTGGATGGCGTGCAGATCTCGACCAGCGGTCGGAAGAGCTGCTTCCAGATGGTGGGCTGGAACTGGTATCGTTCGTGAGCAGGCACTTCGACAGGGCGTAGTAGATTGCGAGCCTGTAATTCAGAGATATTGAAGTCGCCGAGCATGAAGAACATCACGTGTTCAGGATCGTTGTTAGCTTCATTCAGTGCCACTTGCCACGTGGACTTGAGCCGTCTTCGGTCATCTGCGGAGAGATCATGGTTATGAATGTGGAGGTAGATATGGAGGTACACCAGGCTGGGGTCGCGGATGCGCAGTTCGGCAACTCGGCCAGGGATGACCACGGAGAAGTTGATCAACGGCTTGGTGTTGTCCTGGTCGCTGCTGGGGACGAACTTTGGGATGAGGAAGGCGACGCCGCCCGCCGCATTGGAGTCGGGGATGCCGCTGTGGTAGACGTCGTACTTTGCGCCCGTGAAGTTGATGAGGCTGTGAATCATCTGCGAGGTGCCGTGTGTCTCCTGAATGGCAATGAGGGGGCGCTTGGCGAGGTAGGGCTTGAGGATGGAGAGTTTGGCGTCGCGCTTGACGATGTTCGAGTGTACCAGCGCCTGGGCGTTCCAGCTGACCACCGAGCACTCGGTCATAGATGATGCGGTAGTCGCGCTCCATGGAGTCCACTTGCTGTTAAACCCACGACGCTGATGTGGCTGCATCCGCGAAGGCAGCGGCAAGGGCGTCGGCACAAGAAGACCGCGTCGCAGGAGTAAGGCCGACGCCATCAGCAGCATCAGACCATTGGATCTTGGTCGCAATCTCAGGGCGGGAGCCCACTTGGATGCGGACGATGGGCACGTTGTCGATGGAGAGGTAGCCATCGGCGCGGTGGATCTTGGGGTTGAGGTCCTGCTTGGCGTTGTTGACAATCCTTGCCAGCTTCTTGAGCTGGATCTCCTGCCTGACGAGCTTGGGGCTCTTGTCTGCGCTGACGTAGCATGGGGCGCCACCGATCGTGAATGTACGCCATTCCCGGCCAATGCGCAGATGATGGTGGAGAGCTTGAGCACGTGGTACAGCGACAGCATCGGCTCCGAGTACAGTGATGGAAACACGTTTGGCAGGAGCGGAGTTGTTGTAGCGAGCCATAGACACGTCGATATTGGCTGCCGAAAACCATTCGGCGGTGGCAGACTTGAGAGATGCTTGTGTGATGTCCACGGTGGAGGCGATCCAAAAGGTGCCGATGTGTGGTGCCCTGTCCCGCGAACCGATGTTGCTGACGTCGAGCGAGGGAACCTGGGCTTCAGCATGGGCAATGGCAGTCTTGATCTTGTCCACCGCGTCGTTGAGGTTCTTGGATTCCACTTCGGAGGCGGAGATGCGCTGCTTGAGGGAGACGATGTCGTTCTCGACGTGGTCTTGGCGTTCGGTGAGCTTGGCTGTGATGTTGGTGATGTGCGTGATGAAGCTGGCTTGAGACGAGGCGGCAACTTTCTCTGCGGTAGCCTTGAATTGTTCAGCCGCGTCAGCAACTTGAATGGCCAGATGTTTCTCGATCTCGGAGCGGAATTGGTCAAGCCTTTCCTTTTGTGCTGCATCTTGCCAGGGGTCTTTGTTGTTACGAGGGCTTCGTTCGCGACGATCACGAATGGTGGCGAGGTCGTTCGTCTCGGGCATGTTGGGAGCTCGCCGTGGACCACCGGGTCTGGATTCTCGAACGCCAATATGGAGGTGGCCGCGGCACCACAAAAAATCAAACCCGCGTGGATATGTAAGGAGAGCGTAAAGGCAATCCTGAGCTGGCCCTGGAACAAGGGTATGCCGTGTAAGCCTCTTGGCGCTATGCCAAGCAACATTGGGACCTTGAGCCAAAATGGCTACGGAAGAGGAGGAGGAGGAGGAGGAGCAGGAGAAGAAGGAGGAGGAGGAGGAGGAGGAGGAGGAGGAGGAGAAGGAGGAGGACAGAGCGACGAGGCACAGGGACGGGCAGAGACGGGGACGAGGAACACGAACGAGAGCGGGATCCCTTCGCGCCCTCCGACGGGGGTGGGGGCCAATTGCGCCGCGCCGCCCGCCCCACCGCAAGGCGCCCGCAGAGGGCTGCCGCGCCGCGCACTGCCGCGGCGCTGCCACGGCGATGCCGCGCGCTCTTGCCGCGCTCTTGCCACGCTCTTGCGGCGCTCTTGCGGCGCTCTTGCGGCGCTTCCGCGGCGCGCGGGCCTCTCGCGCCGTTACCGCCACGCCGCGCTGGCCGACAGGCGCGCCGCCTCCGCGGCCGAGCAGCGCCCGCGCGGCTCCACCGCCAGGGCGCGCCCGAGCAGCTGCAGCAGCGGCCCCGGCGGCTCCGCGCCGCCCAGCAGGGCCGGCAGGGCGGGGCCCAGGCCCCCGCGTGCGAGGAGGGCCTGGCCGGCGCCACTCGGCGGCGCGCCCAGGGGGGAAGGCAGGGGGGGCGGGCCGCCTTCTCGCAAGGCCCAGGAGGCCTCGGGCCTTCCGAGAAGCCGTCGAAACCTTCTTCGAAGACGCACAGGCCTTCTCAGACGGCCAGGTGGCTGCTGAGAAGCCCCGCCGCCTTTTGAGAAGGCCTGCCCCCCCCCTTTTCTCACTTCCGCCCTCGGCGCGCCGCCGAGCCACTTTCCCAGGCCTCCAGCGTGTTGAACAAAGCAGGGCGGACGTTTTTCGCCGTTCTCGGCCTCAGGAGGCCCTCGCCATGCCCTGTAACAACCGTTGGAAACCAACCCAGGATGAGAAATCCGGTCCCTGGGAAGGGGTCCAGACCTCTGGGGGGTCACGCTTTGAGCAAACCAAGACATCGGATGTCTGGGCGGATGGGCACTTCGTACGGCAAGTTCGGGCCGTGACGATCTCGGTATTGGTCTCTGGCACCGAGCAGATCGTTCAAACTTGAAAGATCAGCGGCGCTCTCCAATCGCCAAAACCTTCCATATTGGACCGATCCTGGGCCGCTGGCAGCGTTCAACCTTGTTCGCCCGCGGCGAGGTCGTCGCCGAGTCGACACGGCACGAACCTACCGTAGTCGGGGAACCTTGATGGGTGCAGGGAGGGTGGCGCTCTCCTCCCTCTCACCTTGCGCCGTCCCCCGGCGCGGAAGGTGGCACCTTCCCATGCCACTTTCCTGGCACAACTCTTGCGCGTTGCCGAACTCTAGGTGCCCAGTTTCTGGGCACACCCCGTCTCGGCTGGAGGCCGCCCGAACAGGGCCCGAGCAGATGGGGTCGGAGGATCGCGCCGCCTCGCCGACGCATCGGCCACGCACCGGCGTGGAGAACATCGGGCTCAACGTCGAGCCGCATCGCAGACGCGTCGGCGATGCGGCGCGATCTGCCTACCCCGTCTGCCCCGACCCCGTCTGGGCGGCCCGCCTCGGACCCAGACCTCCAGCCGCTCCAGCTTCCTCGATGCGTGGGCCCCCGAAGGAGGTCAGCTTTTCGCCTCCTCCTCCTCCCCCTCCTCCTCCTCCTCCTCCTCCTCCTCCTCCTCCTCCCCCTCCTCCTCCTCCTCCTCCTCCTCCTCCTCCTCCTCCTCCTCCTCCTCCTCCTCCTCCTCCTCCTCCTCCCTGTGGCCAGCTTTTCGCCTGCAGTCGCTCTTCGACGGCCCCCGGGGCCCGGCGCAGGCCCCCAGGGGCCGAAACTCGCCCGAACACTGGCCGCTCCCAATCTTCAGAAAGCCTCGCTGGTCTCTGCGGCTCTCAGAAGGGAAAAAAAACACGGACACGACCAACATGGGAACATGTAGGCAGTGGGGGGGACGACGAAAACCCAGCAAATCTGGGAAAAGATGGGGGATCCTGGGATTTGTGTTAAGTCGGGCCTGTCCTCCTACAGGGGAATTTTGGACGACAAATAGAGATATTAGAACAATGCCCCGACATGGCAAAAAATACTCAACAAATAGTCCCCAGACTATTTTTTTACAACAGCTATTCTTGAATATTCCTCCTGTAGAGGGACGGGCCCGACTTAAGATTTGTGTGTCTGTATTTGTGCGTCCCTGGGCCCACTTCAGGCTCAGGCGCCGGGCCTCGGCGTCCGCCGCAAAGGCCGGGCCGCTCTCCGGGCGGGCGTTGGCAACCAGCCCGGGGTCCCAGCCCAGCGCGCGCGGCAGCGCCCCGGGGCCCCCGACCATGTCCAGCAGGGAGGCGCCCAGCGACCAGACGTCCTGGAGAAAGAGAAGCGCCAGAAGCATAGGAACTTTTGGCACTCCGCACTTCTTGGATCGCCAGGGGCGGCGCCGGAGGCGCTCCAGGGGGGAGGGGGCCAGCGCGGACCCAAGAAACCCGCGCGGAGCGTCAAAACGTTTATGTCTACCCATCGGTCGGAAGTTCAAAGGCGTAGGAAACACGAAATAGGAAAACGTTAAAACGTAGATTGGGTTCCGTCCGCCCCCTAAGGAGGGCAGAAAAAGTGAAGCCACTCGATTGCTGAAGTAGGAAGGCACTTAAAGTAGAGTGGAATCTGGGAACCCCAAAACAACAACTTTCAACGACCGATGGGTGTGGCGTTTTCTTTTCCTGCGACGTCCGCCGCTGCCGCGTCGTAGGCGCTCTCGGCGGCGATCACCTCGGGCGCGGCGTACGCCATGGTGCCCCGCCTCCCGTACCTGGGCGGACGGGGCGCGGTCTCACAGAAGCTTTGCCGCCGTTGGCGGCGCCTGTCCGAGAGCGGGCTGGGAAGTGTATACTTGGCGGCGCGCACAGGGGGCAAGGGGAGGGGGGAACGCTTCTTAGAAGGAGGCTGCTTCTTAGACGGCGCCGGCCTTACATCTGCAGGCAAGGCCCTCGCCTTCTAAGAAGCAGGGTGCTTCTAAGAAGCCTTCCCCCCTCCCCCTGCCCCCCTCTGCGCGTGGCCGATATACGCCGCGCTTTGGCACGTCGGGGTATAAGCTTACCGACCGCCCTGAGACAGGCGACCCCGATGGCGGAACTCACATATGGCGGGTCCTGGAAACCCCGAGCTCGCATTCTTTACATGTTGCCAGCCCTTGGGGGTGCATTTCGGCCGACCTTCCGCCGAGGCGAAGATGCCATCTCCTCCCATCTTCGAAGGCGAAAGCCTTTCTAGAGCGCGCCCAATGTTGTATTCGTGAAGGGTACGTTCGGGTGTTGTTCCCAAAATCCGCGTGGGCTCCTGAATTAGATCTGGACGAAGAAAACAATCCCCACCCCCATCGGGGAACCCTTTGTCCCGCTGGGCAATCTACCTCCCCCTAGGTGGGGATGGGTACCGTCTCCTTCGGATTTCGGAGCACCTATCCTCACCTAGATGGGGTACGCTGGGAGAGCCAACGTACTCTGCCCTGGTGGGAGTGGGGGTGGCTCCGACGATGATGATTCGAATTGCTGCTTCTCTTCTTCCTCCTCCTCCCCTTCCCCTCCCCCCTGCCCTGATCTGCCGTCGCAGAGTTTTGCCCACTTCTGCTTGTGTTTGCTTGATCTTGATGTTTGCCCTCGTGCCAGACGGCGTATGGCTTTTGTGCACACAGTGGTACGAGGGCCTGCTACTAGTTTTAGGTTGGGAATGCCCTCCGACAGGCGGATTTTGGAAGAATAATGAAGAAGAGTCAAAACATCAGAGCTAGTCAAACGAGCACGGACAATCATCACCATACTATTTTTTTAACTATTTCCCTACCTAGGCTCTGCCTAGAAGGGTTCTTACTCTGTTGGTTTAAAGAACCGGGCAGTGGGAACCGGCCCGGGCGGTTCCCCCGGCATCCGCCCCGCGGTTCCCCCGGTTACGTCCCCTTAACTTAGCGTTGCTTATCTCATCTTAGCTTAGCTTATTTCATCTTAGCTTAGCTTAGCTTCATTTTAGCTCAAGTTTATCTTAGTTTAGCTTACCTTCATCTTAGCTTCGCTGAGCTTTAGCATAGCAACGCAACGCACAGCATTGCATAGTGCAGCATAGCATAGCATAGCATAGCATAGCGCAGCACAGCACAGCGCAGCATTGCATAGCATGCGTAGCATGGGTGTAATTCCCTACCTAGGCTCTGTCTAGAGGGTTAGCTTAGCTTAGCTTAGCTTATTATCATAGCGCAGCGCTGCATTAACATAGCATAGCATAGCATACCATAACCAAACATATCATATCATAGCATAGCATAGCGCATCATACCATAACACATCATATCATAACAAATCATATCATAGCACAGCTTGGCATATCATATCATATCATAGCTTAGCATAACACAGCGCACAATGACATATCATAGTTTAGCATAGCATTGCATCGCGCAGCATAGCATAGCATTTCATAGCATAACATAGCGCAGCATAGCATGGCATGGCATAGCATAGCACAGCATAGCAACTAATGCTGCTTTCCTAGGGGCTCCAACTTCTAGGTAGGGTCGCACTGGGGTAATCTTGAATATCCCCCCTGTGGAGGGACATGCCCGACTCAAATACTAGATTTCACCCGCCTGTGCACTAAACGGCCGCCATTTCGCGGGCATGCTGGCATACGTGCAGGCTTGACTCTTGACTTGGGGTACCAAAAACGCGTGGGCAGACCGCGCGGTAACCTCGAACCCCCTAAGCGACCTTATTGCGCGGTCAGTCACCGCACGGTTCTGGAACCCTGGAGGCCCCAGTTGCCCGAGACATCCTCGGAGAGCGACCCGAACCTCAAAACCGTGTGGTGACCCCGCATCCCCGCTGACCCACCACACGGTGTGGTCACCACGCCGTTTGGGGGCCCCTGCTTGGCCCCCGTCCTCTGAGCACCCGCCGGCCGGCTGCTGCGCGAGGTCTACGGCCTGCCCGAAGTCCACGAGCCTGGCGGCCCCCCCCGCGTCCACGATCAGGTTGTCCTCCCGGGTCTTCTCGAGAATCGGAGTTCGGCGGCGCGCCCAGGGGGGAAAGCAGAGGGGGCGGGCCTCCTCAGAAGGCCCAGAGGGCCTCCGGCCTGCTGAGGAGCTTGCTGAGCCTGCTCCGGAGCCCCAGAGGGCCTCTCAGAAGGCCAGAGGGCTTCTGAGAAACCCCGCCGCCTTCTGAGAAGGCCTGCCCCCCATCTCGCGTCCCCCCTCGGTACTCCTCGGGAGCAAAGCCCCCACGCTGTGGCGCGAGGGGAACGGACTTTTCGAGAATCATCGGAGTTGTCAAGGTCAAAGGGTCGTGAAGCTCGAGCTGAGAGGACTCGAGTTGGTCCGACGGGGCCGTCAGAAAATGAACTCAGCTTTTTTGTTGAGGGAGAAGAGAATACTGTGTGAAATTGGCGGGAGGGGGGTCACAGGCAAAGATACACGTGCACTGCTTGTCGGTGAAAACTCGCACCAGGATGACGAGACCCAATCTAAAACTTACACGCGAACTCCCGCTGCAAACAAACCTCCCCGAAAATGGGACCGTCAAAACTCAGGACCAGCGCGTCCGAAAGCGTCGGCTAACTCGAGTTCGGGGAACTCGAGCCTTCCGTTCCCCCGACCCTACACCCCGTCGCGAAACTGAACGTAAGATTTTCCCGAGCCGCGTCGGCACCCCCAGGTCCCCAAACTTCAATGCTGATGCTGTACCACATGACTTCAATATTTTCGCCGGCGTCTGCGGACCGTGCCGCGAGCGCAACTGCCCTCTCCCCGAGCGGGGAGAGGGGGTCGGGAAAACTTGCGTTGTAGGACGAGAGTGTTGTTGTCATGGTGCGCCTGGCTCAGCATGCGTTCCAAGAGCTCAGGGATTGTCCAGCGGACCCTGCTCCTGGAGCCCCGGCGCAACAGCGGGAAGCCAAGGAAGTTTGGCCCTGGCGACACGCTGTGCCCTGCGGGCTGATAGCGGGTTGCTCCGCTGCACGGGGCAGGGGGATGGGAAACGCGTTGGGGATGTTGATGCCTGGGGGCTGGGACGTGGTTGGCGTGGCGTGTCGCGCCCGTATCACCCCAGACCGCCGGGGTCGTGACACGTTCCACGGAACAAGCCTTCCATCCCGCGCTGCTTTCGGACAGCCCCGTGGCCCGGCAGGGGCCCGCGGCGGCAGACAAGCACCGAAGACCTTCCCACCGTGGAGGATGGGCATCGCTGGGCACGCGGTGGGGCCATCGTCCTGCAGTCCTCGAGACCCGCCCCATTCAAGCCCCCCCCCCGTTGCCGTCCGCTCGGACCATCACCGCTGCGCATTCTCGGCGGGGCGCAGCTGCCGGGACGCAGCCCGAGCCAAGAGAGCCTCCAAGAATCTTCGAAGACTCCACGAACCTCGGCCGATGCCCGGCTTCACGTCCAGGTGCCCCACGCCAGCCAGGACGATCAACGGAGGAGGAGTGACCGTTGCTGAGGCGGCCAGCCTCCAACAGTGTAGGACTGGCTCACCGTGGCACGAACTGTAGTGAACACGGCGCTGGAGATCGACGGATGAGGAGGCAGCGAAGGAGGAGAAGAGGATGATGGGGAGGACCAGGGCGATCGCGGGTTTAGGAGGAGGCCGCGGGAGAGGAACATGCGGTGGAAGGGGGATACTCATGATGCTGATGATGCTGATGATGACGATGATGAGGATGATGGTAATGACGATGACGATGATGATGATGATGCTAATGCTGATGCTGATGATGATGATGACGACGACGAAGATGACGATGATGGTGACGATGATGCTGCTGATGATGATGCTACTGCTGATGATGATGATGATGATAATGATGAAGATGAAGATTAATATGATGATGATGATGATGATGATGATGATGATGATGATGATGATGATGATGATGATGATGATGATGATGATGATGGTGATGGTGATGATGCTGATGATGATGAGGAGGCGGAGGACGTGGAGGAGGAGGAGGTGGCGGAGGAGAATCCGAGGATCGGAGGACGACGACGTCTCTCTCTCTCTCTCTCTCTCTCTCTCTCTCTCTCCCTCTCTCTACCCCCACAACATGTTTTTTCCCCCGGCATGCTTTTCTCCCGCGGGCCACAGCAGCGGAGGCTCAGGGAGGCTGCGCGGTGCCCCAAGGGGTGCTCGCGGGCATCGCGCAGACCCCCCTCCGGCCGGCGTCGCAGAAGCACAATCGACCGGACCTGCTCGGCAGAGGCGCTCGCGGGAGGAATGGCGCACGTGAGGATATCGAGGATACGGTGTGGGCGTTGGTTAAGGAATGTGCCAAGGAGACTTCTGAGCCTGGGGGACTCCTGATCCGAGGAGGGCGGCAACGATGTCCATGGCCATGGTGGATCCACGATTGGAGTTCCGCTGGCTTCCAGACGCTGGATTCCTTATCCAATGGTTCCTTATCCAGTGCCCTCACCGTACCGAGGATCTCTCTCTCTCTCTCTCGGAGGAGGAGGAGGAGGAGGAGGCGGAGGCGGAGGAGGAGGAGGAGGAGAAGCATGAGGAGGAGGAGGGAGGAGGAGGGAGGAGGAGGAGGAGGATCTCTCTCTCCCTCGCCCCAATGGGGTCCGGCTTCACGTCCAGGTGCCCCACTCCCGCCCCGTGGCAGGCCGCCACGGCGCCCGCCAGCTGCGCGAAGAGCCCGCGGGCCTCCTCCAAGGGCAGCGGGCCGCGCGCCCCGAGGCGCCGGGCAGCGCCAGAAGGGGGTTCCTCCAAGGGCAGCGGGCCGCGCGCCCCGAGGCGCCGGGCAGCGCCAGAAGGGGGGGGGGATCACCACTGAGGTGTTCATTCTTCTTCTTCACTTCCCTCCCTCCCTCCCTTCTTTCCTTCCTTTCCTTCCTTCCTTTCCTTCCTTCCCTTCTCCATCCCTTCTCTCTTTCATTCCTTCCTTCCTATATTTGTCCTTCCTTCCTTCCTTCCTTCCTCCCTCCCTCCCTCCCTTCCTTCCTCCCTCATCCTCTACAGCCGCACACGATGAATACTACCCGCCTCTCTTCCCTGCCTCCGTCCGGAAGATTGCCTGCCTCTCCGCGTACTGATCTTTTGCGCACAGGAATTGGGCAACGGTGATCCCTCCCATTTGTTTTACACTCCCATTGGTCTCAGTGTTTCAAACTACTGCTCCCGCAGCAGCGTGTGTCTCATTTTCGGATCGGCGCTTTGTTCCCGTCGTTCACAATGGCGCTTTCGCCCCAGCGTGGGCCACTTTTCTGGATCCGAGTCCTTTTTCACCCATTTTCGCACCTCTCATTTTCCCTCCTCCACCTTCCCCTGGTCATCCTGCTCCTCACGCTCCTTGCACTCCAATTCCTGCTGCTGCTATCCGTCCTCGTCCTTCCACATCCTCCTCCGCCTTTTCCTCCTGCTCATCCTCCTGCTCACCAGCCCCCTCCTCTTCCAATGTACACAGCTCCTCATTTCCGATTGCGCAAAACACGATCCAGCTCGGTAATAACACGCGTCTGGGAGTAGAGAAACATCAGCGCAATGCGATGGGGTGGGGTGAGGGACAGGATATCAGATGTGGTGCGAGCGACTCAGCTTGCCCTCTTCCTGTCTCTCCCTTTCCTCCTCTCCCTCCTCTTCATCCCCCTTCATTTTCCCATCCTGCCCCTACTTCTCTCACTCCTTTCCTTAACTCCTTACTCTTCTTCGTGTTCTTCTTCTTCTTCCTCCTCCTGCTCCTCCTCCTCCTCTTTCTCCTCCTCCTCCTCCTCCTCTCTCCTCTCTCCTGTTCCTCCTCTTCCTCTTCCTCTCTTTCTTCCTCCTACCCTCCCCCTTCCTCTCTCTCTCTCTCTCCTATTCCTCATCCTCCTCCTCTTCCTGCTGCTGCTGCTGCTGCTGCTCATGCTCCATTTCTTCCTCCTCCTCCTCCTCCTCCTCCTCCTCCTCCTCCTCCACCTCCACCTCCTCCTCTTCCTCTTCCTCGTCCTCCCTCTCCTCCTCCTCCTCCCGCTGCTGCTGCTGCTGCTGCTGCTGCTGCTGCTGCTGCTCGTCCTGCTCCTCTTCTTCCTCCTCCTCCGACTGCAGAGGAGGAGGGATCCGCCACTTCCTGCTGCCAGGTTTTGCCCTCGAGGCTCGAGGGCCGAAAGGCCCCTGTCGGGCCTCCGGAGGCCGGGGATCTCGGGGAACATCTGGGGGTCGGAGACTGAGGTGCTCCCTGCCATCCCTCTCTTCTCCTCCTTCTCCTCTTCTTCCTCATCCTTCTTCTCCGCTTCCTCCACCTCCTCTTCCCCCTCCTCTTCCTCTTCCATTCCTCCTCCTCCTCTTCCTCCTCTTCCTCCTCGTCGTCCTCCTCTTCCTCCTCTTCCTCCTCTTCCTCCTCATTCTCCTACTCCTCTTCCTTCTCCTCCGTCTCTCCTCCGTCTCCCTCGTCCTCCGCTTCCTACTCCATCTCGTTCTTAGCCTTCTCTTCCTGCTCTGCCTTCTCCTCTTCCTCCTCCTCCTCCTCTTCATCTTCCTCCTCCTCCTCCGCCTGTTCCTCCTCCTCTTCCTCCTTTTCTTCCTCCGCCTCCTGTTCCTCCTCCTCCTCCTCCTCCTCCTCCTCCTCCTCCAGGCACCTGGCACCTGATGGCATCTGTGTCTCCTGACGCTGCCGTTGCTCCGCCTCCTCCATTTCCTCCTCCTCCTCCTCCTTCTCCTCCTCCTCCTCCTGGCGAGGGCCCAGGATTGCACAAGACGACTCAGGGTGAAAAGCCGGCCCCTGGTTCACCACCACCTCCTTGGAAGTCGAGAATCGAGGAGGGCAGACCGATGACCGGGGAGGTTTAGGACGTTTTCCGGCCTCTTTGTAAGCCTGGGGGGGGGTCCAGGGGTCGAGGCATTTGGGTGCCCCTGGACCCCCCAAAATCCCCCACGAGGGATGCCAAAGAGGCCGAAAAACGTACTGACCAAATCCCGTCTGATTTGTGTGTGCGAAGCACTCCGCAATTGCGGACGATAGTGAGTGGGCGGCGGTGTCGTCGGCAGTCTGCGAGGCTCTGAAGAAGCCCGCCGCAGGCGCTGACCTTGTGAACAGATTACGCAACGAGACCGCAACAAGCATAGTTACATCATTTGTTGTTGTTGCTGCTGCTGCTGTCGTTGTTGATGCTTGTATGTTGCCACCCGAACCCTTCGGTGTTGGGTTCTCGTTTTGAATGGAGCACCGTGGTCTCCGTCACGCACTCCCTCCTCCCCTCCCCCTCCCCTCCTCCTGCTCCCCTTCTCCTCCTGCCTCCTGCCCTCTTCTCTCTTTCCGCCTGCCTCCTGCCTCCTCCCTCCGCCTCCTTTTCCTTCTCCTTCTTCTGCTCCTCCTCCTCCTCCTCCTCTTCCTCCTCTTCCTCCTCCTCCTCCCAGCTGTCGCCGCTGGGAAGGCTCCCGGGAAGCCCAGCGTAGCCGGGGAGCCACGCAGACCCAGCCGAGACCCGGCGTTTCCCTGGGGGGGGGGGTCGAAGTGCGCCACTATTGCTTCCTTCGTGGAGCAGGAGGAGGAGGCGGAGGAGGAGGAGGCGGAGGAGGAGGCGGAGGAGGAGGAGGCGGAGGAGGAGGAGGAGGAGGAAGGGGGGGGAGGAGGAAGGGGGGGGGAGGGGGAGGAGGGGGAGTAGGAGGAGGAGGAGGAGGAGGAGGAGGAAGAGGAGGAGGAAAGCCCGCGTGGAGTTGCACGCAGATCCAGCAACGACCTGCGGCAACGTCGCCACTTTCGTGGTATTCCGGGAGGTCCCGTGGAGTCGGTAGTCACGCAGACCCCGTTGAGACCTCGCAGCTCCCTGGCGGCTGCGGACTGCGCAACTGTCGCCACTTTCGTGGGCTCCTGGGGGGCACGGCAGAGTAAGGGAGTACGCGCATCCAGACGAAACCTCGGCATATCCCTGGGTGGCTGCGAACTGCGCAACTTTCGCCACCTTCGTGGGCTCCTGGAAGGCACGGCGGAGTAGGGGAGTTCGCGCACCCAGTCGAGACTTCGCGGCTCCCTGGGTGGCTGCGAGCTGCGCCACTGTCGCCACTCTTAGTAACTCCTGCGAGGCCCAACGGAATTGGGGAGTACGCGCATCGAGCCGCGAATTGGGGAGTTCGCGGCTCCCTGGGCGGGTTTTCAGTGCGCACTCGTTGCCACTGTCGCGGGCTCCTGTGAAGTTCAGCGGAGCAGAGTGTCCTCGCAACGTGCTCTTTTCTTTGGCACGTTCCTTTGAATAATCGCCTCGCGTTGAGAAGCAATTGGGTTCGTCTCGGTTTTTTGGCACTACGTGTTGAATGGCACGTGAGCAGATCGGAGCAACCAAGCTTAAACTTGTTGCTGATGCTGCTGTTGTTGCTGCTGCTGCTGCTGTTGCTGCTGCTGTTGTTGTTGGTGTTGGTGTTGCTGCTGTTGTTGTTGTTGCTGTTGTTGTTGGTGTTGGTGTTGGTGTTGGTGTTGGTGTTGGTGTTGTTGTAGTTGTAGTTGTAGTTGAAGTGTAATTGTTGCTGCTGCTGTTGCTGTTGTTGTTGTTGTTGATGTTGTTGTAGTTGTTGTTGTTGTTCTTGGTGTTGTTGTTGTTGTTGTTGCTGTTGTTGTTGTTGTTGTTGTTGTTCTTGTCGTTGTGCTTATGATTGCCGTTGTGGTTGTTGCTGCTGCTGCTGCTGTTGTTGTTGACCTCTCATTACACACAAAGAATCCTTGTTGATCCCCCCTCCGGGGCACATGTGTATTGTAAATTGAAGTGCCCATCCTGGGGTTCGCACCTTTTTTTATTTTGAAAAAAAGGAAACCTTGGGCCTCAGAATTTGGCCCTTGGCCCCCGACTTACAACAACAACTGCTCCCGCCTGGCATTTCCGAACAATGTATTCCCACATCGCGCTCTCGCGCGGGACTTCATCACACATGATCTCGCGTGGGACGTCCTCATAATTGATTCAGGCGCCGCGCCTTCGACACTAAGGAATCATGCTCTCGCTCTGGCCTTTCTCACGATTTACTTGGGAATCGCGCTATCGCTCGAAATTTCCATCGCGATTCATGCAGAACGCACGTTTCAACAACCCGCCTGCTCGACCTGGCCGTCTGGGCCTTCCTTGCCGACCCGCCCGTTAGGGCCCACCCGCCCGATTTGCCCGTAGCTTTCTGCTCCTAGCCCCCCTCTTGCTACTCTCTCTCTCTCTCTCTCTCTCTCTCTCTCTCTTCTGTTTTGGGGGCTGCGCTGAATGCGCGTGGCAGGTAGGGAAGATATACCCCCCAAGGTGGTACGATCGAAGGGGAAGAAGGCGGGTTATCGAGGGCTTGGGATATACGTGTTGAATGGCATGCGCCCAGATAAGAGCGAACACTATTAACACGATTGTTGCTGTTGTTGCTGCTGCTCATGCTGCTGCGGCTGCTGCTGTTGTGGTTGTTGTTGTTTTTGTTGTTGTCGTTGTTGTTGAACTCTCACTACGGAAGCGTAATTATTGTTGATCCCTTCGCGTGGGACTTCCTCGCAATTTATTCAGACGACCTGCTCTACCTCGTCGCCTGGGCCCACCTTCCCGACCTGCCCGCTATGGAACTGCCCACCCGATATGCCCGTCTGGTGCTACCACTTGTTTTCTGCTCCTTGCCCCCTCCTGCCCATTTCTCTCGTGCTCCATTCTTCTCTCTCCCCCTTCCAACTGTCCTTTCCTCCATTGTTTTAGGGTCTGCATTCCATGTACGTGGCAGGTCAGGAAGATATACTCCCAAGGGGGTACGATCGAAGACGACGAGGGCGGGAACCGAGGGTTTGGGATAAACGTATTGATTGGCACGTGAGCAGATAGGAGCGAACAATCTTAAACTGATTGCTGTTGTTGTGGTTGTTGTTGTTGTTGTTGTTGTTGTTGTTATTCTTACTGTTGTTGTTGAACTGGTTGTTGTTATGACTATTGTGTTTGTTGTTGCTGCTGCTGTTGTTGTTGCTGCGGTTGCTGCTGTTGTTGTTATTATTGAAGTCTCACTTCTCAAGGAGAATTATTGCGGTTCCCCCGGTTACCGTTTTACTGTTTACATAAGACGCTGCGCCTGGGGATCGCACCGGGTCTTTTGTCGGGGAAAGTCTTTGGTCACCA